CGGTGGACCTCACGGGGCCGTCCTCAACAGAGTCTACCCCAGCCAAGGTCCAGCGCAAGTTGTTCGTGGGTCCAAACCCAAAGAACTTCGACCCAGTGTTTACGCTCCGAGCATGACTGACACCCTGGATCCCACAACGGCTAAGCAACTCTCCGCCACCAAGGCTCGTGAAAGTTTGACGCAACCAGTCATTTGGGACAAGCTTCGTGCGGACATCCAGGAACTCATGCGGTCGCACATGTCTTACGATGAAGCTCTCACTGCAGCTCGGACCGACGCTGAGATCCATTCGCACCTGGACGCTCGGCACCTCATTTCCATGCTAGTGCGCATCATCTACTGGAAGAGTCTCGACAGAACTCCCTGGGCCAAATACGTCCCGAGTTGGTGTTACAAAGAGGCTGAGTCTAAACTCACCAAGGCTCTCACTTCCGGAGAGGTTCCCATTCGTTGGCCCAACTTACTCAAGGACATCCAGGATGACGCCATGGAGATTATGGCGGCGCTTTACGACAGTGTCACAGAGGAGGAGGAGGATGAAGGGCGCGACGCGGCCTTTTCCCCAGGCGACGATAGCCAAAGTAAACCTCAGCGTCGCACTACTCCTCCCCGACAAGCAAAGCGTGGTCGGGATACTGCTTCGGACTCGTCGTCCAAGGCTAAACCCAAACGTGCGTCCTCACCACCCAAGAAACGTGCTAAGTCCGGCAACGCCAAGGACAAGAACGGAAACAGACTGCTCTGGCACGCAAGAGTTATGGCTCCCTGAGTGACTCCGAAAAGTGGATTGTCGAAGTGCCACGTCAGGGTATTCTCTCATGGCGTCATCGCGGAATCCTGATGAAGTTTCCTCCTGGCACCGCTAATGCCGTGACACAGTCATTTGGGTTCCCAGATTACGCTCCCAACTTTGCCAACGACGAGGATGTCCAGGCGTTGCGTGAGCGTTGGGATCCAGTGGCGTTCAAAGAGCTCATGGACACAAACCCTTGGGACGTCATGTTTGAGGATCGCTCCAAGTTTCTGATTCTTCATGTGCGGGACAAGCTGAAAGACTTTACTCACGAGTCTCTGGACGTCATAGTGGCCTTCATGTCGGTGCATCGTCGTGCATTCTGGTGGTTTGGTGGTTCGGGCACTGGGTGTTCATTGACTTGGAGGCTGGCGACCTTTACTCCGAGGATCTCCACCGCGAACGCAAGGCCGAATGCGACAAAGCCAAGAAGGAGTACAAGAAGCTCCTGGATGATCGTGTCGATGCTGGACTTGAGGAGACAATTCTGGATGAAGCTGGCTCATGGACTATCCCTGCCAAGTGCTGTCACTGGATTTTGATGCATGAGTCCCAAGTCAAGGATGACGGCACTCGTTACACCCTGAATGAGCAGATGGAGTTATTGGATGACCAAGAACCAGCTCGTGTCCAATGGAATACTTGCGCCTCGGACGAAGATCGCATCAAGCACCTCCCGGAGAAGTACCCGTTGAGGCTCCTGAAGGGCTCACAGCGCTCATCGCAGAAGAACCGCGTCACCATGGTCTTTGACTAATTATCCCTTCCAGAACCACTTTATATGTTGCATGTCAAAGCCTTTAGCGTTAACATCCAGAATACACCTGTCGGTCACATCCTCTACCTGTCGTTCACATCCTCAGAGTTCATTGTCTTTCTTATTCATCGCACCATATCCGATACTCTTCACCAATTTCACATCCGTTTTCAACACTCTTAGTCGTCAAGTAAATTCCACAGTCGGCATCCTGAATATCTCCACAATTTCTCATCACAAAATCAAACAAAATCACAATCGGTTCACATAGTTCCACGATCCAAACGCCGTTCGGGTAGTGTCATTCGGGTTGACTACACTCTCGGGTGGTCATCCCCAGCCTGCATCGCCTGAAAACGAGCTCGTGCTCGCGTTCCCTTGTTGAACTCGTACAATAATGATCCACAATTTAGCTGTGTCACTGGAATCCACTCTGGGTCATCATACCCCTTCCACTTAACGAGATACTCTCGGGATCGTCTCGCAGTTCGGGTGCGTTTCACCCATCGTACATCCCGAATTGACTCCACTTCAAACACATCATTCGAGCTGTCAGGCCCCCAACTGTCTTCGGGTAATAGTGCCGCATCGAAATCATCGTCATCTACAACATCAACCTCGAGTGTTGGTCTCCTTGGGAAGACCACTCTCGGCTTGAGTCGGCTAATGTGTACCCAAGGGTTAACACGATACCCTGTATCTTTCACCTTCAGTTTCACACGGAAGTCATCCCGAATTTCATCGATCCTGAATGGCCCGTGCCACATGTGTGCTAACTTCCGGCTCAATCCAGTCTGAACCTTCGGGATGTACAACCAGACGGAGTCACCCTTCTCGAAACCAGCTTTGACCCTCTCTGAGAGTTCCAACCACTTTCGGGTTTGTTCGTCTGAACGCATCTTCTTGGCCTTCTTCTGGAGATCCTCAGCACAAGCGCGTGCGTAACCGTACTCACGCTGTAGTTTTTGACGCCACTCATAGGCGCTACGCTCAGGAACACTCGAAGGTTTCGGTCCTAACATTGCCGAGACCGTACTTCGGGCATCCCAACCATGAACCAAATAGAAAGGAGTGTCCAGTCTAGTCGCGTCGAACGAGACATTCAGGGCGAACATCAGTCGCTCAGCATGGTCATCCCAGTCGGATTGATCCATCTCAGCGACATATGCCCGGACACTCCGAATGACTGTTTGTACAGACCGCTCCTGTTGTCCGTTCGCTTGTGGACGATATCCGAGTGTAGCACACTGTCGGCTACCAAGAGTTCTCGTAATCTTGTGAACACTTCACTCATGAACCGCGGATCCTGATCGTGCCGTATCATAGAGGACGCCCCGACCCGAATCTCTGGAACACTTGCTCTTCATAGGCCTCAGCGACATCTTGAGCGGTAGTGGATGACATGGGCTTACACATCACGTAACCTGAAAACATGTCCTGAAACAACAAGAGAAACGTATTTCCTCTAGCGGACTCAGGCGTATGAGTCACGAAATCCATAGAAACGGCTTCGAAGGGATACCGTGGTTCAATGTTTCCTGGCGAAGGTCCAGCATTCGGGGGCGCCCCTTTTCCACTGGCGCAATCTACACATTCTTTCACAAAATGTTGGACGTCTGCATACATGCCGGGCCAGTAGAATTTGGTACGCAACTTCTCGTGCGTCCGAGTGATCCCTTGGTGTCCACCTTGGAAATCTTCATG